AAAATCCCCCGAAGAGCTGCCGGAGGAATACTGCAGAGTGTTCAGTTTCAATACCTTGGAGCTCTTCCGCAAGCAATAAGTCTGAGAACTCCCGAGAGGCAGTGCCTGCATGGGATTTGCCTTTCACAACTGAAGAACTCAACACTGCAATCGGCGAATCAAACAGGCACACATCACCCGCGGTCACGACGAAATAATCCATGAAGCCATTGCAGCGGTATACCTCTCACCTCCCACCTACAACTCCTGGAATAATATAATTCTTTATGGCTGTCTGGTGAGGTTACCGCAGAATAAAAACTCACTAAAATAGTGCCCAATTTGAAACCTGCTAAGCAGCCAACAAGCTACGCCTCTTTCCGACTGGTCGCTCTGCTTTCCGTTGTCGAGTTTATGTAGCAGATGGTTGGCAAACAACTGGCGTGGTTCCTGGAAAGCCACGACAACTTTCTCCAAGAAATGAACGGATGCCGCCAAGGTAGGTCAGATACCGATAATGTGATCACCGTCATCTCGTCACTCGAATAGAACCTCGAAGAAACCAGGCTGCAGGAATACTCACGCATAGAGTCCAGTGAGCGCACTATTCTGAAACGTTGCCTTTCTTTCTTATTTGAAAGACATATGTCGAAAAGCATACAGTTGTTGCTATTGCATCTTTGCGCAATCGTTTCCGCAGCTGCCGACGAAAGCACTGCGCGTTGAATGTTATCCGCATCGTTGCGCTGCCCGTTGGACACTGCACTCAACTTTTTCACCGACGATAAAACGCACCTCAGAATTTCTCGCACACCAGAGAACGCAAACAAGAGCAGGACACTAAAACGCGTGAGGGCGTGTGTCGTTTGCGAGCGTACCTTTTTTCCATGCAGTGCAAGATTACAGAAAATGAGATCGTGAGCTGAGGGCACCAGCAAAAAAAAAAAAAGAAACATTTTGCGCTAATAAAAAATTGTCATGAACTCTTTGCTCACTACACCTACATATTATTGTTGATGGAAAAATCTCAGTTGTAAAGAATAGTGAGGCTTCGACTTTCATTCAAAATTGCTTTTTCATCATTGGTGTTTGTTCCTCCACACATGGTTGCACATAAATTGCAACTGCATCTACGTATTTCACATGTAAAAAAGAACATAAAAAAAGCAATGCATTGTCAAAAAAGCAATGCATTGTCAATAGTTATATTATTAATGAACAAAATTACAACAAATTGATGAATAAATGTACCAAGACATTTATTCCTGAAAGCGTATAGAATCGCAAAAAATAAAATTAATTTACACACTCAAATTAAGGGTGGTAGCACGTGAAGAAATTTGTGGTAAACTTTCGCATCAGAACCAAAGGGGCTCATACAAAACCACCTGAACAGTAAGTATGGTGACATAAAAAATACGCAAATAGAAGTAAAGTGCACACAAAGTTTCTTAAAATGATCATTAGTACTTGGGTCGCGGTATTATAAAATAAAACGGCATGTAGTTTCAATTGTAACACCTGCTCCATGGCCGTAGTACTAGTCAACTAAGGCTGCGTGGTGCACTTGTTAGTTACCTTAGACTCCTCAGATGCTATGGATAATATTAGAGCATGAGTTATTGTCTAGTAATGTATAAATATTAATTCTGTTCGTGTTATTGGTAAATTTGAAGCCTTTAAGGTCTTTACCCTACGCAAGTGAAGTGATAGTTGCCATGATGTTGATTTAATAAATCGTTTTTCATAGAAAAATTTGACTCCCTTGACATTTTGAATATCTTTAATGGCTCTACAATATTGATTTGATTATTTATGTGTGGGCTCTAACGTCCTAAAACCTTCATCTGATTATGAGAGACGCCGTAGGGAAGGGCTGCGGAGAGTTCGACCACCTGGGGTTTTAACATCCACCTGAATCGGAGTACACGGGCCTACAGCGTCCTCGCCTCCATCGAACATGCAGCGGCGCGTGTACTTGAAGCCAAGATTTGATCCCGTGACCTTCGGGTCAGCAGCCGAGTACCTTCACCACTTGACCACCACGGCAGGGCTGGATCTTTAATATCAAAGCGCATGCTGTATTGGTCGTGCCGTAATCAGCGTGGCGTGGGTGAGCTTCTCGCTGAAGCAGCTCGTCCCGAACAATTTGGTGTATCGTTGACGCAAGGTCTGACGATGAGCTCACGTCAACAATTCATACCATCAGAGCCACTAAATTCGTAGTTATTCGGCACATCTTCGACCTTCTGAAGGTCCCGCAAGGCTGCATGAGATCAAGCATAATGCACGAATCGCCTTTACGATGAGGAAGTTGTACACGTCTTCAGCGATGCTTTTTAGAAGATGCCCTACTTTGTTCTCGTCCGACATAGAACACTTACCCGTCTTGCACTGCCACAAGATTTCCTCAGTGTATCCGGTGCCAGTCTTTTCATAAAGTTCAGCCCACGGGGCGAGTATCAACTCAGCATGCTTTTTCTTCGCGGTGGTGTGACCAAGGCAACCTATCTGTTCTCGAACAAAAATATTGCCCGTCATTAAGGCGTCCTCGCGATCCTTGTTCCAGACGAGTGGGTTGTCAGTCAGCGAGAACACCGTACAGGCGAGACGATCATTTGTGTCCTATTTGTTGCATTTGCTGCAACCATTCGTAATGACTCCCCCTTTAGTTGAAGTCTTCCCCAACTTTCGCTTTTTAGGGGCATCATGTCTGTATGGCTGCGAGGGATCACCAAGCGTTGATGTCGAAGTGTCGGTGTCAGATTACATGTCATGCTGAAATGGCTATAGACTCGTAAAAAAATGACTGCGACGAAAACTTATTGGGACAGCTTTCTTGGTTCGACACATGGAGTTTCCTATTATACACTACAATGAACTCTGGTGCTAGTGTCTTAGGGAGCTGCAACGCACGGTGCTTCAGCGAGCACGGAAATGATGAGTAGTACACACATTTGTAAATTATTTTGGTCCTGCGGAACGAGACTGAGTGACGCACCTGACTAAATCCCGCGAAGGGACCACCAAGCCGAGCCTTTCGGCGACTTTGCAGATCCGCTGGACAGCCGACAGCTGATCAATGAGAGTAGGACTGCGGTCATGTCGAAATTCAATAATGTCCCAATGTGACGCTAAAGGTGTCTCTCATCGACGTTGTTAATTTATTACTTTTTATTTAAACTGTCAAACTCATTATAAACCTTATTAGGCATTGTAGATAATTACGTTATAACAACAGTTGGCTCGTTTTGTTCTCTGGCAGCTCCTATTTCTGGCTCTAGATCTACTAATACCCTATAATGTTGGGCGAGCTTTGACGTCTCAAAAGCTCAATATGATCATGAGGTGCACTGCAACAGATAGGGGGCTCTGTGATTTTCGACTATGGGGGTTTGCTAGCGTGCACATAAATTGAAGTACTTCGGTCTCGGGTATTTGCACCTATATTGAAAATGCGACCCCTGCTGCCGGAATTCCATACCGTAGCCCTCGCGTCAGTGGTCATGGGCCGTATCCACTACTTACCCATGACGGGTGTACCTCTTATATCGAAGGCAGGCACATCGATTGTGTCTCCAACCATGTAGCCACTGAAGCTGTGGCTACATGGTTACACAATCCATTTTAATGATGAAGGTACGGGGTGTTATTCTCAGTGCGGACCGAGAACCAACCAGTTTTTCCTAATCTGCAGAGTAGTAACACAACTGGAGCTCTTTTGTTTCGGCGTACTCATCTGGAAAAGTAGCCGTTTGATGATCTACTTGAGCTTTTGTTACTAGTGTGGGAGGCATAGAATCGCTGCTGCGAAGCACCCACCAGTTAATTAGATGCCCGTGCACTTCCGGCGTGATTATCGGCAGAATATTAACCTGGAAGGGTACCCACCCTGCGAAGCTTAGTGGCATGGGGCAATTAAAGCTAAAATTTCAGTCATCCTTTTCTTTTTTATTTACTTCACCCATTGTACCAGGGCACCAAGACTTGTGTTCCAGAAGTTTGCAACTCTTAAGACTACCGCTTCCCTCAAAGAATGAATTTCTCGTACTAGGAGGTGCGACAAGCTTTGTGAACTTGGCTTTCGAGTCACTAATATTTCTGATTAAATTCGACATCGAGTCCTCCTCGGGTGTAAAGGTAACCAGCAATATGTACAACACCCACTATTTTACAGTTATCACGACATGCATAACTGCACAAATGCCCAGCCAGCAGAGGATATAGCGGATACATGGGACAATACTTCGGCTCGCAAGAAAGCTGACACTGCCACCCATAGCGAGCTGTCACCTACATTAGAAACGTTTTTCGCAATTGATCGCCTGGATTATTGCCTACACCGCAAGCTGATTCTTCAATGTAGAATCCGATATTTAATACTTCCGTGTGGTTCAAAGCTCCCAGGCATCTTTACACGTGAGAAGAAGGTGGTGTAGTGCAGAATTCGTGTGGGAATGGTCTTACCTCGTGGTTCACCTATGCCTGGCCAGAACAGGTACATAAACCATTATCAATATTTTTCCGTTCTACGAAACATTGAATATTCATGCACTGCCTCTACGCAACGACACGTGGCTACATATGCCCGCTCTGCAGCGTACTGTACACTTTGACACACTTGTTCCTGAAATGCCACTGCGATGCAAACCATGACTACGATATATATATATATATATATATATATATATATATATATATATATATCTCCCTCCGCAACTGAAGTACCCACGTTCAAATTCAATCACTTGCTATGAACATACCCTTGCCGGAACCAGATACAATGGCGCTACCTCTGAGGAAAATGGGCCTCCATTTGACCAGACCTGCGGTGCTGCGGTGTATTTTTTGTAGCTCTATGGGGCCTACAATAGAGCACTGTTGATGTATATGGCAGACAGTGATCTTCGAGTTTGCGTATAACTCTTTATGCCGTGACAAGAACTTTCCTGTTTAGAAAGAAAGTGTTGGTGGTTGATCGCTGCACGAGTATGTCGAGGGTCAAAATACTACTATGGAGGTTAAGCGAAAGAGCGAAATCTTTATTTTTATCTATACTTCAGTTTGAACTACATTATAAAGTACATGCAGGGGTTACAATTCTTCCAAAATACACTCAATGCGTTATAGACAGTCATACAAAATAGCAAGCCGAATACATCCGACACATGTCACTTAGAAAAGCATCGAGCAGACATATAACGAGCGATTTTGCTTTTTCTCGGTTTGTTATAATCTGTGGATTGTCAGCACCTGCAAGAAAAAAAAATCCGTCAGAACGCAACCAAAAGAGAACTATCTGCTAGTAGGAAATGTTAGTTTATTGCGAGCGTAAATATAATAATGAGCTGTCAATGACACAACATATGTTAGTAGATCGCGCAATAACCAAAGCCATTGAACCCAGGTTTTTCCATGTCTTTGGGTAATCTTTAGTCATGGACAAAAAAGCAGAAGTGATAGTTTTCAGACTTTAGAGCAAAACCTACGTGAACTTTCGGTTACATGTAAATTACACCTCCTGTGCTGCTGTAATCTTCATGCAGGAGGTATTCACTATACCAGTTTTATAGGGACCAATAATCAAAGATCAGCAATTTTGTAAGTAACCACGACCTCATTTCACTTACCTGTCTAATATACATTTTATTCTTTTCGCATAGAAAAAACAAAACATAATTGGCGGGCCGCTTGCTACCTTTTCATATGGGTTGTGCTCTAGGGGAATATTTGTTTTCATTCACGGTGTTACGCAAGTATAATTAAATATTGCGGCAGTATATTGCTGTTTGAAATTTCTTCAATGAAGCCTCAGGGGCTTTACCTGAAGAAAGCCAGCATACATGAAAGGCATGTCATGATTTCTTTGTGACTGCTTAATTATTCCTGCCATTAAGAGATGTGATATCAGTTTTGGCAGATATCTATTTGCTTACTGGCTGTAAAGGCCTCAAGATGATGTGAGGCAAAGTATGCTCTACATAACATTTGTGCCATAATTCGCACTTTATTTAAAGTCGCTTATGTTCATCGCATACTCCTGTCATGCCACACCAATTCGGACAGGTACATAAGAATTCTACAAAACGGCCGCACACGAGTGCCTAGGAATGGGAATTATGCCGTTCATGACAAGTATATTATGATTTGCGTGGTACAACCTGACATATATGTTCGTTACACAGTAATGTACTACTCCCTTACGATTTTCGGTATGCATCGCAATAACAATACGACCAGGAGATTCCAGAGTTTGGGGAGGATTGAGACCAATCGATCAATGGACAGACAGGCAGATACACAGACAGACACACAGACAGATAGTTAGTTAGATAGATAGAATATAGATAGATAGGTAGATAGATTATAGATAGATAGATAGATAGATGGATATACAGACAGACAGACAGATAAATAGATAGATAAGTAGATAGATAGATAAATAGACAGATAGATAGATAGATAGATAGATAAATAGGTAGATAGATAAAGTGGCCACATGAGGAAACATTAGGGGCTTTGGTATACAGCTCGACAATAGTGACCCGCTCGACAACTGCATACAGCCAGTGCGTAACGGCAAGGGGGGCTTCAACCACAGTACCCTTAAACAACGTAAATAATAATAAATATATATCCCTCTTTCCCTACAAATTTGCATACAAAATATCCCACTTTGATGCTCGAGCTGGACTGTTGAAATGCATGTATAGTTTTTAAGTTCATCTTATATGCTAATATACAGCTGCGTCGTCACGCTAGTGACGTTGCAGCTGTATATGAGCATATAGGATCAGGGTAAAAACCATTTATGTATTACCATACATGCACAAAACCATGTAAAACCATACATGGGTCCAATACAATTGATGATGCTTCGGTGTCATTCAAATTGAATGAATGTATAATTGTAGTAGGTCAGTGTGCAGGGATAGTTTTGAAAAAAAGTGGCTGAGACAGGTTCAGTTGTCTAGCTAAAACAAATTATAGCATTAACTTTAGAGCTTCAGTCACTTTTCGAGATGTAACTCAAGTTCACGTTGTCCCTGCTCTTTCTAATCGTACGCATACAAGTGTGGAGTACTGCAAATGTCCTAATTAAAGAGTGGCAGTGGGTCTACAAACCATTTCACTGTTACTAATCGTCTCAAAAAATAAAAAATAAATAAACGTGTTTTATAATCTGGTTAGAAGTGTTGCAAATCTGCTACAAAAAAGACTGCTATGTGAGAATGGTTGCAGGCTATGTTTTTCAATGCAAGTCTTACCATGTTACAATTACTCGCTTCCTTTTGTCATCACAGATCATATTTGCACATGGGCAACTGAGGTGCGTGACATGACCCGGGCGATGAGATAATGCACTTGTTTCACATTTACCTGCGAAGATGGAAAAAATAGTATCAAGGATAAATTGGTGGCAGAGGCCAATAAGGCAAAGGATTATTCGATTAAACACGAAGGAGCATTTTAATGTAGTCCATATTATTATACATAGAATCTAGGAAGCGCAACGGCTACAAAACAGCGGGATATCGATTACGGTTACGAGTTTTCATGAATTACTGCATTACCACAGAAACCCACCAAACGTTTAGAGCACTTCTTGCTTATTCAACGAATCTAATCACTTAGAAATATAAAGAGCAGCTGAGCACATTCCTTACCAGGCCTTTTTCTTTTCTGTGTGCATCCCAACTGTTCAAACGCGAGAAACGCCAGTGAACTATGCGCCAAGATGCACTAAGGAAATATTCAATGACCGTTTTCACGATGATGTAAACTTGCTATACCTAATATAGTTGTATATATTGTTGTTTAAAATAAAGATACCTTTCGAAAGCATTGTAATATGTAGGAGTGGACCTAGTTATTTCTGGTTTCTCTTTTGTTTTATTTATTGATCGAACAGGACGTGGTGGTGTAGTAGGGGTGCATCAATATTATTAGCCGACAGGTCTATAATTACTATCAACGTGGAGAAGTTCTTAGTGCTTTAGCAGCAGCTTCATTGCGTGTCAACTCGGGCATATCAAAATTCATGTCACAGAGAGAAGTTAGCTCGTGGTGATCAGTTGTATGTCGTGCACTTTCCACACTTTGGTAATTCTGAGATATGTCGACGGACATCTCACTGGCTTTTTTGTCATTATATTGGCACGTATTGAGTTACCACAGTTATAATGATGAACCAGCTGTTAGCTCAAAATTAGCTGCCGGCTACAGACTGTAAGAGACAGAGTATGTTCAAGCTTTCTATTGCCTCACATATTTTTGTAAAGCCTAATTTTCGATAGCTGAAACACCCTTTATGGCATCATATTTAATACATCTCATGCGCGTAACTCCAAATTAGATACTCATCCTTTTTGAAAAAACAAATGACGTCAAAATATTTTAAATTATGTGCTCTAGTCTACGTTTTGTTTTATTTTGTCATTACACATCAATTATATTTGCTTTTGCTCAGGCATTATTATTCTTCTTGCTGTTACATAAATTGTGCACATTTGAGGCGCTGCGAAAAGTGAAGTACAAAATCAGCCTATATTCTTTCGTACGTGAAAGTTAGGTTTATAAGTGAGAAAAACAGTAAGCTCCCCGGTATAGAAATTTGCAAATGCCATGGAACACTGATGCAGTCTTACTATCACATAGTTTGGGAATATTGTTATTGAAAAAAAATGCACAAAGTTGATATAAATAAATGAATAGCATAATGCCATCTTTAGGCTTTTTTTCTTATTTTTACCGTTGCCAACTTCAATGGTGGTCTTTGTGCACGTAGTTGCATCTTGTGACGCCAAGGATACAGTCACCCATAATAGCATCAGCAGTGCGTACTTCATAGCTGTGGTTGTCATGCTTGTAGAGCATAACCTGTAAAAAAAAACAAAAAACGTCTATTTCAAAAAATGAGCAGAATGTATACCAGTACACAGTTCATATCAATCCTTCACTATGAAGAGATGAAGAAACGCTGACATACTAATACATTTTTTGAGGTTACGATTGAGCATCGTGCCAGTTTGTATAGAGTAGAATATGTGATCCGAAAAGCTGTTTTATTATGAGGAGTTTGTCCGAAGGAAAACCAAATGCTTGCCAGGAGTTTCATACAGTCAAGCCCGACTATATCATAGGATGGTAATTCCAATTATCCTTTATTTGAAACTATTCTTGAGGGCAGCAAAGCTTTTCCATGATCGCAAGAGAAAATTCACGACTACATCAAATATAATCAAACGAAACTTCTATGTATTGTGCAGTGAAAACGTCCCGATAAATTGGTTTTCCCTACACACGAGATTTTTGGCGTGCATTTAAGAGAACGTGGAGTCATTATGAGATCACCTAGTGCAACAAGTAGCAACTGAGGCATGCCATCCCTCTCTTCGTGGTAAGTACTGCTCGTCTTTGCACAGCCAGCCCATCATCACCGGTCATCGTTTGTATCTCAGACAATTTTGTTGCTGCAATTCATGTGGTAAGACAGAGCAGCCTACCATTGTCTTCAAAGCTGAAGGTAATGGTACGATGGAAGTGGAAAATAGAAATCGTATGAAATGCTGCTTGTGGCATTCGAAGAAGGGTGCTGAGTTTGATTTTGAGAAACGGTACAATACTGAGGCCAAACACGCTAGTTCCTTTCGGCACCCAATTATTGGACGCTATTTCCATCGATACCGCATTTTCTGGTGTATAGCACTCCACTGTGCCACATCGACAACTACAACCACGGAAATATAAAAAAATGCAAAAAAAACACCATGCCTGTGCGGAAGGCACAGCACAGTCATAGCGAAAGCTAGAAGAGCGGCCTGTCAGAGCCTTTTCTGAATGCTCATTGGGGTAACTGCTGCAAGCCCACTTGCTTGATGCCCGCTACGGCATTAATAATAAAACATTTAGGGTATTGTAGGCTCTTATTTGCTATGTTATTTTTCGTTATTTTTCTGAGAAGCCGAGTAACAGATAAACTAATGCGAGTAATTTTGTACCAATTGTCCATGCAGTGGCTGACGATGATGAGGAATTATGCCTGAAGTGGGTATGCGCCACAGTTGTTAGCTGAAGAAAAACGAGCATTTGTAATGGGTTCGACCATTGGATGACCCAGTCGTTACGCTATTCGCATTGTGCGACGACTGCTTCTACTTTCGCTGTCCTAAAGCGCTTTATAAGTTACATCAGCGCGATTACTTTCCCGACATCAAGCCTGCATAAGGCAACTCTCAAGCACCAGCGTGGCTCAGTGGTAGAATACTGCGCTGGCACCCAGCGGACTGTTTAAGCTCCGCTGTGTCATTGGTGCTAGGTTTTCTTTTTCTAATTCGAGCGATGTGGTTACGCACAACGGTGGCGTGGGCAGCGGCGGAGTACAACAACGGCGCTGCGCGAAACCCGAGTTGTGATCTCACAACAGCTTTCACTGTAATAAAAAATCTTGCGAACTGCTGTGGTAGCAGTTTCCGCTTGTTTTACCAAGCAGTACCGTGAAATGAATTGACCCAGAACAGTCTACACGAAAAATGCATTGAGTTTATTCGAATTTATAGATATAATTGTCTACTATATTGACGTCAAAAATACACATGATCAAAGAGCAAACAAATGTTCAATGAATGGGAGTCGAACCCACAACCTCTTGATCAACACCAACTGCTGCCGGGCAAGCAATCCACTGCGCTCTAGCCACGTGCAGTGTAAGCTTGAGGTACGCGTATTTTTTATCGGCCACTAGCCTCTAACATTGCTCCTGGTTAAGTGCAGTAATGAATCATGACTGTTGCATCCGCGATTAGTTTCTTTAAGAGATCGTTTTTATGCCTCCGTTCTATTCACAACTTTTCCCATTGGGGAAGTGTAATTACGTCATCAACATACAAAATCTTCACTCAAAGCGTCAGCAGGGCTAATAGAATTCATCCGTACCTAAAATAGCCCTGCAACGTGTGGAGAAACGTGCCTGCTTCACTTGATTGTAAGTTCGCGCTGTAAGTTCCCCGTTCACGCTGGCCCCGCGAGAAATCCTAGTCGGCGAACAGGGAAGACATAAAGCGCGTCGTTTTCGCTTTAATCGGGCAGTGTCGTTGTATTATTGTACCATGCAACAATTAGGCATCCATAGATGAAGTTCTGTGTACAATCAGTCACGCTCTTCTCGCTGTAAAACCACTTTCATTGGTTCCGCCACCACCATATACTACCGCTGCCACCAGTATCAATGGTCAGAAGGGTACGACTGATCAGTGTTCAATGATCAATTATGGAAGAAAGTTTTCAGGATGCAGATGTATGAGTAAACGTCAACCTAAATGCATTTACGGTAAACACTGTTTAAGCTGTCAAATACCAACATACACTGTACTAGATACCTTACATCAATCTACTACAGTACGTTGTAACTACTTTTGTAAAAAATACTTTCGTGCTATGCTGATTTTGACGAAAATTGGCTTGTCCTGGTTTGACTCCAACCAGGCCACGCCCACTGTAGCATTTGTGCATTACACATTTTCGTATGGCAGACGTGGCACTGTTGACATGTGACCACGTGGTACTCAAAACCTTGCATATCCTGCTTGTGAAATAACGAACGTTACCACCCGAACTTCCCGACTGATTGATCTGCGTGAAATTCTGTAGTTCTCGCGCCTGACTTTTGTATCATCGTGAACATTTTACTTTTCAAACTAGCCTATCATTTCGCCAATATTCGCTTTCCACGTGGAATGCATACTCAGGACTTTTTTTCCCCGCCAGCTCCTGGAAGAAGGCAGTCAAGTCGGCAAGCCTCTCACTCCTGTGTTTTGACCCTCCAGTCTGCTGGTGCTTTCTGGCAAAAGAGGTCACCAAAGCCTTCCTGTCTAGGTTACCGTCCTGGTGAGGAAGGTTCACCGTCTTGGCACCGATGTCGACCGTGTATTCTACAAATGCGCCTTCTGCTGTGGTCCGCAAAAGACGACCCCGCCACTTCTCAACGCTGGCATGGTCTTGTGCGCTATAGCTAGTTGGTACGCACTGACTGTGGTGATTCTTCTGAACAGCTCTCCAGGCTAGCCAATATCCTTCACCTTCTGCTGTCTCTTGACATGAACGTTCCACAGTACATTCTAGCTGCTTTTTTCGGACCGATTCGTCCAGGAGTCATTCCTCAACCAACTCCTGGTGTATCCTGGGCGCCGGAAGAGATGTTTGCACATTCGCTTCTGATGCGTACAGGTGATTAGGTACTTACTACACTTCCTGAATCAGCTTCTGTACTTTTGCGAATTAATCGCTTAAGCCAAAAAAAAAAAGGCTGTTCGGAAAGCAGGCATCCAGTTCGTTTAGCTTGGTGACATTGTCGCTATGTTCCCGCTGTCGTTCCAATTTCTTCTCACACAAAGCTATTCGCAACTCCGCCGTACTGGCTTCTAGTAATACTTGCTTGCCCATCTCAGAATGAGCCGTAGCTTGACAAGGTACAGCATGCTTCTGATCCTGGACCCGCTTGCGGTTACGGTGTAGTACAGTCTCCTTGTCGGTATTTTGTTCCGAGACGGCCGATGGCGTCGAAATAAGCACAGTTGAGTCATGGTCTAAATAAGCGGAGTTAAACCAAATGGGAGTGTTATATTCAGGGGAGCTTTCCTCTTTTCGGCCATCAACTACTGCTGTGACTTAAAGTTGGCTGGTTCTATACACTATGACCATCCTTGTCTCATCTGCTTCTATCTGTGTAGTCACTCTTGCAGACACTTCCTAGTTCAATTGAAAAAAAAAAAAACGTTCATAGGACACATAGCCCTGAAGGAAGGGCAGCGTTGTCTGGGGTATTACTCTCAGCTTCTGCAGCACAGGTGTTATGATACAGGATCACGACGTCTCTGGGTAGTTCTTGAAGCTTTACGTTACAGAGCACAGACAAAAATGAAGCCCGCTGTACATCCCGCGACTGAAGCTCTGGAGATGTTCACGAGAACGTGGTCGTAGAGTTGTCGAAGGGATTTTGTGTCTCCTGATGCTCAAACAAGATTCCACCGATGCATTCTTCCGAAGTATGCCTGCTTCTGACAAGTATTGTCCCCGATATACTTCTTTAGCATCTACACAGCATTGTTCTAACATACCTCAGCCATTCGAAGACCGGTTGCAGCTGAGGCAGCGTCTCCTTTCAACACCTGTCTTGAACATTGAATTTTTCTGTTGCAGAGAGAGGTGAACAGTCTGGAAAAATTGCTCGTATAACTTCATTCACTTGCACACATTCGTCAAAAATGCACAATTATCAGTTTCATAAGCTTGACTTCCGTCCTGTTTGATGGTGTAGCGACCGTAGTTGCAGCAGCCGGCGATCGACTTTCTACACGTGTGCTTGAAAAGCGGTTCCGCCTGCTCAGAAGCTTGGCCAAGGTTCACGTCGCGTTCTGCTCGTACTCAAGGATTCTGTCATACTCGACTTGGAAGTACTCGTCCGAAATGAAATTCTCATATTCAGGGTTGATGGTGTACAGCTCATCGTTATTCGTTTTCATTCTCTCGTAGATGGAACAGAGCTGCTCATATGTCGCTTATTCAGTGCTAAGTATGGCATTTGCCTAATTGATGATCCGGCTGTTCAGTGACCAGTGGGAATCGCGCTACACCATGGTCATGTCCATGTCTCTAGGCCACCCGTAGCCATCGGTTGGTGAATCCCTGGTCGATCGGCCCCAAAATGTGTGACCTACAACATTATACCAGTCAATCAAGAAGTTCGGGTGGTAATATTCGTTATTTCAGTGTGATACAACACCAGAAGGCGCTATTGTAACTAAGCTTGTCTTGTAGTAGTAGTAGCTGGAACTGGGCAAGTAACTTCACTGCGCGGTAGAGAATGTTCCTTCTATCGCGAG